GTGTAAGCCATTCGCCTTGCAATTAGTCTCTCGAGACCTTTACCCAGGGAGGAGAGAAGTGCGATAGGTCTCCATCCTTTAGCTGTACTGAGGTTACGGCCGGGTTTGGGGAGAAGGATTACTTCCGCTAGCTTGAAGGCCTTCGGAAAGTGATTCAATCGCAGTGAGCCCTCAAAGAGTACTCTCACTGCGTGACCAATTGATGGCCAGGCTGTCCGAAGAAGACGAACAGAAATCGCGTCTGCTCCAGGGGCTTTATTTTGGCAGGCCGTTGTAACCCACTTGGCTTCCTCGTCCGTAACGCTCGAGACCCATGGGAGGTTTCCGCGTCCTGGCTCGAAGTCCTCAGCGTCGACGTCGTTCTGACTGGTGAACCGGCCGAGAAGGAGGTCGCGCAACAGAGTTGCTCGCTTTCCTGGATCCGAAACAAGACCATCTGGAGTTTGGAGTGGTGGAGCAGCTGATGTAGGTTGCGGCTTAGCCCAGCGTGCCATCCGATACATGTCGACGTCAATTGTGGCTTCGGAGAACTTCCGCCGCCAGTACTGGCGTTTCGCACTTCTGACTATGCGACGGAAGTCCTTTCTGCTCTCTTCGTCCCTGAATATCCTGTATTCGCGTTTGGCTTGTGCGCACTCTATCGTCCACCAAGGTGCTGTCCTACCCTTCTTCACACTCCCGCGTCTACCAGTGACCCTGATTGCGTTGCTAATAGTTTGGACCAGCTTATCAGCAAGATTGTCCACCGCGTCTACTGAAGCCATCGGCTGTAGCTCTATTCCTTGAGCCCAACGGCCTAGCACCTTTGCAAAGTCTTCGAGGGCGTCGTCTGTCACTCGAAACGGTTGGCCTGTTTTGATAACAGCTCTAGCTTTCGAGTTCGGACGGGGGACGTCTCCTGCAAGAGTTCTGTGGTCCGATGTCGAGTCAAGCTCTATCGAGACGTCTGCAAGGGCTCCCGCGTTAGACCAGACTAGGTCGAGTGTGTTTCCAAGATCGTGAGTCGAGACGCCCGGGGTCGAAGATAGGTCCATGCCGTGCTCGGACATCCAGTTGGCGAGCACTTGGCCGTCACCGTGTAGCCTGGTGGCCATGGGCTGCCAGTCAGGGTGGACAGCATTGAAATCTCCACCAACTACTGTAGGCCCAGACGGGGCCCATGATAGGAGCGGCGAAAGGTCTGCTCCAGGAGCGCGATACACTGAGACAAACGTGACTCCTTCAACCTTTACGGCGGTAAGATCTGTTGATGCCTCGCAGATTGCTAGTTGTAGGCACTTGGTCCCTTTTCGCGTATAAATGAGGGACCGTGGCCTGATGCAAGGACTGTGAAGGTTAGTCTGCCAAAAGTGTCGTTGAAAATGCGTTTTTTTGGTGTCGGACAGCTGCTAATCGCCGATGTTCTGTTATGGGGTTAAAAGTGATCGCCGATCCAACAAATACGAATCGTCGATAGATCACCTCAAGAATGCGGATGATCACCGATCCGATAGATATAAACCTCCCTGGGGTCAGAACTACATGTATATATGTCCTATATCCTAGATAAATACTATATCCTAGATAATTAGAAAATAGACCGTATTACGGCCAGCTTACTTTGTTCTTATTATTTTGGTGATAGCCCATCACAATATCTCGAAGAACAAGTGTACAATTTCGGACAAGAATTTATTGATAGTTGTATGTGGTATCGATCTCTCTTCTCAAAATAAATTAACAATATATAATACTCCGCTAACTTAGTTTAACAAAGGCAAATAAGCCAATCCTTAAATACAGATTCCCGAGGCTTTAGTGATCCCGAACTTCCAGTGATCTAGCTACAACCAGCCACTCAATTACCGTATGGTATCATTTCCTAGCCACTGCATCTCAGATACTACTGAACCTCGTTTCCCCTAGCTGAGCTTAATCGTATGCAATAGAAACAAGTAAATTGATCTTAATGATCAAACTAGAAATCTAAACCTTCATACATACGAAGTCTAGATTTCCAACACAAAGTGATACAGCAAGAATGAATCGTGAACAGGGGATGTAAGAGTCAACTGTAATACTTCTCGGGATCGTTCGGTGTGGTACGAGAATTAAGGTGTAGTGCAGGGCGCTTGTACATTAGAAATGGCGTTTTTATTTGTTTGAGTTTTGTGTGACTAGTTATCTACCAAACAATGATGTAGGTAGCGAAGAGTCATATAAATCTGGACTACCCGTGCCATTCCCTCTGGATGCTGGGGTAGTACCCGGTCACGATAGAAATATCATCATTATCATCGTCTAAAAAGAACGAGAACCATCAAATCATCGAAAGTTCCATTGCATACTGTGACGGGCTTTTCCCGGATTGGGACTGGTCACTAGGACCACTCCGTCTTCGAGGTTAGGCTGTGGTAGAGCAGCGCTCCTGGAAATATGAAAGGGGCGTATAAGGAGGTATCAAGGGAATCATGTACCAGATGGGGAGTATGGTACAGGAGAAGAGGTGATACAGGGCGAAAGGATGATTTTCAAGTGGCCAAGGGGAGGAGTTAAGACTAGTCTACGCAGAGCATATAAAGGATGGGAATAGATTAGATTTATTTTATAGTCCTGTCTGCTTCTATAACTAAAGAGGACTTCTAGAATATATGTGATAGAGTGAGCGATGTTTATTATACTACTTGAGTCTATGACAGTCTAGCACATTGGGCTCCTCTCTGACCCAGGCAACATCTTGTACAGTGCTCCTTGCCCCTCATGTTTCTTAAAAGATCATTGATATATTGCACTTGGTGAATAGCCATTCAGCTCGGTGTTTACCCGTGGAGTTCAGCCACCTTTTCCACGGAACCTTCTACCCAAAAAAAATAAAAATGGTAGCAATGGAAACTGCGTGCGCGGGAAAAAGTCTCAAAAAACCTGCAGCCCCAGCCAGGCGAGGCCTAGATACCGGGACCACATGAAGTGCGGATATTCATATATTTCTTCCTTCTTTGTAACAGTAGAGGTCGACTTGATCCAATCCACCATCTCCGTATCGGGTGCTGGGTACGCTCCGGAAACTCATTGGATGGCTTTTCCTCCATGATCAAGGGTTGGTGATGAGCAGGGCTCCGACCCTACCATCTGATCTGATCGTGGTTAGCTTCACGATAATGGTGATAGGAGGATTTGCTTAGGGATGAGGACCACACAGACCGCGTAAGCGATTTGGAATCCTCGTCGAAGTGAGGACTTTGTTACTCAATCTCGGCTCTGCAGACTCTGCAGACTCTACAGTGATAGCTGGAGGTTCGTAGGGGACACCACTGACAGGTATTGAGAATAGTCCCTCTATGTGATAGAGTCTAGCTGCCTGATGCAAAACAAAAAAAGAAAAAAAAAGTATAGCTACATTGGAGTATTTTTGATAATCAATTCAACTTGTGTTCTCAAAGGCAGTGAGGGCCATTCACATGTAAAAGATGGGAGACTTCGTCGTAGATTGTTTTCCCAAGGAAGAAGTTGTTAATCTCTATCGAGTTAATGTCTTCAAGGTAATCTGAATTCATTAAATACTTATACATGCGCGTGCGCGTGCATGTGTATGTGTATGCTGCCGAGCGACAGATATAGTATTTCATGTTTAAAAGCTTAAATCACGAAAGACAGGAGTTTCAAAAAAGTGATCAAACATTTTCGGTAAAGACAATGCCATAGCGCAAAATCATAGAAAGTAATTGCATTTTATCCACGCTTGATTACGTTCTGAATAACGTAAAATAACATTATTCAGCATTCGAGTTCTATTAAAGGCTTCTACTAACGCTATTTTAAGATATGTGTTGGAAAATATACTCCGTACGATATTATATGGATAAATATGATGAAGTAAAGAAGACTTGATATTTTACAACAATGTAAACATTGGACTCATGTATACATCTTAGGGGAGACATTTCCACTAGTCTCATGTGCCTGTCAAACCTAATGATGACCAGCCACCCCTCATCTACCATGATGAGCCAAGGTACACTGTAATACGTAAATATCCAAACGTAAAGGCGACAGTGGGCGCGATTAGCGCACTCGGGACATGTGTAGAGTCGATATTGTCGGGAACCTGAGACGAAACAGGTAATGGTTGAGTCCTAAATTCAAGAGTCAGAATTTCCAACAATTTGTAAATGATGAATTAATAATTACGCTGTCATCTGCCTGATTATACTCCGCTACTGAAGCCGCCATCAACTACCTACATTCTGTTCACCCTCTATCTTTTTCGTTATCCTCGTGGTGTGATAGTCTCGTTTCTGATGATTCCATCTATAGCAAAAGAAAGGTTTCGTCAGCAAGTGTCGAGTTAAAGAATAGAAGTTTGATGAGAATAGGTAAAAAAACTAACCGTCAATTTTTTTAATGGTTTTAAGGAAAGCGGTGATTATGGGGTCGTAGAGTATTGAGATATCTCTGAGTGTGTCATAAAAATTACCATTTATTCCAAATAATATTTGGCGCAACTCAAATGCCAATTCTTTGATTCCATTAAAGCAAGGCGAAAATTTATCAATAATTCTAATCTGAAGATTGAGCCCAACGTCTGCCATCTTCGCTCCTTGATTTGAAAGTGAGCCAGATGAGCACCAATGGTTGAAGTGGTCTTTGACCGCTGCCGGATCACGTCCGTAACAGACACATCCCACGAGAAAGACGTAAAAAAATGACTCGAGATCGTGACGGTAGGTCTTCGTCATTGTTCCGGATCTTAGAGCAATATTTTGCAGAACCTTTATTGCCATGAATTTCATGGTACCAGTTAGACTTTTTGTCTCATTATATCCCGCAACATACATGGACATGTCTAGGTCTATAAGCTTTCCATGTATAAATCCAGATTCATCTGGCATTGTCAAAATAATATTTCTCTCAGATATGTCACTGTGAAGAATACCAGCATAAAAATATAAGCCACGATGCCCAAGTATGGCATCAAGCAAGCCACTTAAAAGCTCCCGGACTGTAGAGCAGGTCTTCAAGGGTCAACCGTAAGGAGAGATGACGGCAAGAGTGAGTTTTCGTTTCTTGAAATATTCTTCTGGTGCGCCCTCTGGGCCAATGGAAAGCCAATTCTTCACTCCCATGTCCCACCTTGTTCCGGTCGAAAAGTCTAGTCCCTCGCGGTGACTTTCAACCTGATATATCCGCTCTGCCCATTCAAGATCAGCGACACCTATTACCGCTCGTGCGGCGTTCAAGAAATCGATCTCTGATTGTTCCGCGCCCGAGCCCCATGAAAACTTGATCAAGTATTTCATGTCCATCGTCTGGTAGCAGAGGTTACCACGTGACAGCACAGTCTCAGGTCGGGTTACTGGTTCAGGATTGATCTCGACCCATCTTTCAGGCGCCAAATCGTCAAATCGAATTTGGACGAAGGAGCGTTCGTTGTAACGAAAGATAGTCGTGTCGAGGCCAAGCTCTTCGTCACTCATGATCGTGTAAGCCGTAAGGACCCTGGACAATATTTCTTGGTCATTGATCACGTTAATTTCACTAGAGCTATACGCTCCTGACCTGTCGATAATCCAGAAAACAACGTGCCTCTTGTGCAAGACAAATCCATGAACGAATCGACGCAATGGCTGAGCGTAAAATACTTCACGCACACACAGCATGAGCTGGTGGAATTTAAACTCTTTTTTGGCTGCCGCCTTCGTGAACTCGCCCACTACCCACACATCCCTCCAGTGATGACCCCAACCAACAGGGTTGTCGTAATGCTCAACAAAGACATCCACTTGCCGGTTACGTCGACTACCATCCATCTGAATTGCAGTAGAAGTAGAAGTAAATTTTCCGCGCATAAATTCGTTATGGTTTCTAAACGTAGGAAGCTTGTTGGGATTTGTTGGTTGGACTCTACATGGTTCCAAGTATATCCTGTGGAAAGCTTTGAACCAATCTATCATTGCTTGATCACCCATGTTGTCACTGAATACGTGGTCATTTCCACATTGACCCATGTCGCGATATCTCTCCCAAATGTAAGTGGTTAGACCATACCAGCTTTTATTTTCGAAATTCACCTCCCAGAATTTATCAACAGCTTTATAAGTATCGTGTGTAAGCTCGGCCCTGGGTGACTCTTGATGTGCTTCTCTGGTACTATCATAATCTGGTTGTTCTACGACGTTCCGAAATAGAGTTGTCGTCGATCTCTTCTCCTGAGTCATAGGGATTTGTAAATCTGGAAGTGTTGGAGGATCTGCCCGGATGAGTCGATCGGCAATAAGAGTAATATGAGACCAAATTTGACGATCGCTTTCAAACTGATCTAGTAGATCAGTTGTGCAAAATCCAAGATAGAAACTTCACCATTCATTATCTTAGCTTGGAGATGATGTATATCTGATCTTAATACTGTAACGTAGTGGTTTTCTGTGGATCTGAGGTATCGCATGATGTAAGAGTGAAAATCAGTTACTAGGTAGCCGATTTCTACATACTTAGCTTTTCACTTTATTTTTAAGCCACAAGGGTTTACCTCGTATAGATCCAGTTTGAAAATCGGGATTACCTCTATACTGATCTAGTATTTGGTGAAGAGGGTTTCGATCCGTATAATGGTAGAATTGTTCTATTTAATCCATCGCGAAGATAGTGGTGTACAATGGTGGATTATTTGAACGTGAACGTGAGAGTGAAAGAGAAAGCGATATAAGAAGAAGTGCTTGAGAGGTTCAATAACCCTTTATGAAGTTGGGGTTTCGCTTAAATCATATGACATATCCCCCATGACGCCTTACTTGTACAGTGCCTCTAGGATCAGAAACGTTAAGCTTGAAACTGGGCTGTTAAAAGAATTAGACCTGTAGGTGCAGTTGAGCTAACTCGTAACAGATTAGTCTGTCTTTCATCATGACCCAGCTCGCCATGATGTGTGGTCCAAGTGTCTTCTTCAAACAATCGGTTATAGTCTCTTAAGGATGTCAAAGGTAAAATTGTCAAAATGACTGGGGTTTGATCCCTCTGTATATTGATTTGATTCCATTGGTATTCATGCAGGCCCATGTCTAGTCCGTCGACTGGTTAAGCAAGCCATGGGTACTATGCAATGATATTCCGTGAAAGTCTAAATTATGGGGATGGTTTTCAACTCTATAGGAAAAGTACAACGGTCCTCATTTAAAATTTAAAATTAAAAAAATCGATTGATATTATCTAGAAATACGCATCTATTTCAAAAATAATTGCTGTATTGCAAAAGTATACATCGAAGCCCTCAGTATGGCTTGCAACTAAAATGAAACCGTCCTACATGCTTCATTTTAGTCTGCTCCATGCTAATACTTTGTGTACCCTCCATTTCCCTTTATCACTGCTAAACATCTTTCGTGCATTCTACCAACTAGTGACAATAGCTCCTCAGAAGGTATAGTGTTACATGCAGCCTGTGGCAATGTTCTCAACGTGGCAGAGCGCACATGCTGTTGGAAAATATACTCTGTACAATATTATATGGATAAATATGATGAAGTAAAGAAGACTTGATATTTTACAACAATGTAAACATTGGACTTATATATACATCTAAGGGAGAAATTCCCGCTAGTCTTGTGTGCCTGTCAAACCTAGTAATGACCAGCCACCCCTCATCTACCATGATGAGCCAAGATACACTATAGTACGTAAATATCCAAACGTAAAGGCGACAGTGGGCGCGATTAGCGCACTCGGGACATGTGTAGAGAGAGTCGATCTTGTGGGGAACCTGAGCCGAAACAGGTAGTGGTTGAGTCCTAAATTCGAGAGTCAGAATTTCCAACATATGCCTGACCCCATTTATCTCTGGACTTGTCTTGTCTTGTTCATTTACGTGCTAGGTAAAGTGATTCCCGTTGCACTCCTACTGGAGCTTAAGCACGGGTGGAGCTGGGCTGGATCAGGTTAACTACCGAAAAGTACATGTACCTTGTCCCGCCTTAATGACCGGACCACCTCAGACTTCACCCATGTGTTGAATCATGTCAAGCCAAAACGTCCAGAGTACCCCCTTTTGACGCGCCGAAGCGCACATTCCCCCTCAGCCTCGGCCACCAAGCGCCCGAGCCCTGGACACCTTCTCCAATTGTAACTTTTTCCCTCCATTCAGTCCCAGCTTTGGCTCATCTCATCCAGGGGTCGTTTTCTTCACTGGAGGCCTCATCCAGTCGCCCACCAAGGCCTCCTCAGTTTGGATTCCCTTTTTATTCCTTAATGCAGCATCCCTCTGTCCTTCAGCCAATCTCGTCATCCCAGAAACTTTGTAGAATGTCCACCCCTCCGGCCTTGCCCCGTCGCTGCCGTACCCCTAACCGTGGAGGTCGAAAACCCGACTGAGAGCTCAAGACCGAGGCACCGGTGCCCCTGCCTTTGTCGAACGCTCTAGCTGGTGTGCCGGCGAAATGTTGTACGTATTTCGTCAGTGGCGATTCGTCGCAGGCTGAGTTGTTGGCGCCCTTGGCCGAGGTGAGGACGCATTTAAGGCCGGTACTTCGAACTTACCTCCACAGCGACTGGCAGTTGCGGAGGGTCAGACTTCCTCTTGCTTCTTTGTTGTCGATTTGACCTTTTGGAGGTGTGGAGTTGCTTCGGTAGGTGGTGAGATGATTTTGGAGAGGGCCGCGAGATGAGTTTAGCTAGGAATGATTTTCCAGAGAAATAGAAAAAATATATTGAAGGTGTTGGTTGTTGTAATCGAACATCAGACAAGCTATAGGCTGTCTGCGGTTCGTATCTGGGGTGTAGATGGTTGATTTCGTTGAGTTGTGCAGTCGTGAAATCTCTGCAAGTCGGATTTGCGACCAAAAATGAGCCAACGCCACTCCTCCCGAACGCCAACTCGACGAAACTCTCAAATCCACCCTTTGTCGTGACTGAATCTCGGCTCTGGGAGAATATTTCACTCCCAGGTTCGTAGAGGACACCACTGACCGGAGATCGGCCTTCGTCCTCCATTTATCTCTGGACTATATACCTGAATGTAATTTTTTAAGATGTTCCACAATGACTCGATCGGGTTCAGGTCCGAAGAGTAAGGTGGCCATCTCATAGGCGTTATTCCAACTACACGCAGCGCCTCAATAGTTGAGTACGCTTTATGACATGGTGCGTTGCCGTGCATGTATAGAATTTCTGGATTTTCCGAGTGAAATTGATTCAAAAGTGGCAAAATCCTTTCACAAAAGGATGAGGCCCTCATTGATCCTCAATCCTTCTCCTAGACTAGGAATAGGCCTTTTAATGATCCGTAAAATAATTCTCAAATCATCCAACTGTTCCCATGAGTATGACGAGCCACAATACAAGTCTCATCAAACTCATCATCAGACTAAACTCTGCTGTTAGTACAAGGAAGATTTTGATAGAAATTATACGTACTTTTCTTGTGACACGAGGTTTCATATGAGAATCACCTGATACCCAGGTTTCATCAGTCCATAGTATGCGACTCCATTGTTCATCACTCCAATCTAAATGTAATTGGGCGAGCCCTAATATTTTCTGCTTGTTCACCGCGCTTAACGGAGGCTTCTTCCAAGCAATACATCTGCTGTAACCTCTTTTTTTCAGCGCGTTAGAATTTAAACGTTAACTACATCCCCAATGGCTGAAGGGTCCCATTGCTAGTTCCAAATAGCACATCTTTCGATTTTCATCAGATTCCCGGACGAAGGCCTCAAGCTCATCAACTTGTTCCGCGCTTAATTTAGATGAGCACCCTTTGCGAAGCTTAGGATTCTCAGTCTCTCGAGCACACGCAAGTCGTACTTGCCTTCTTGTGAAGCCAAGTTCGTCGGATATTTGTTATAATTTCAAGCCAAGTCTTCTTCATGCTCTTATTTCAATACATCGATCGCGAGTTAGATGCCTGAGAACTTTATTTTCTGAAGCAGACTTTTCGAGATACTTTTTTTTTTGCATCAGATTTTAATTGCGTATGCAGCTATCTAGCTATGACACAATATCAAAGAAAAGTACGGAAAAGATGACTCAATTTAAAATAAGAGCACTCATGTCTCGGATTTCATTTGCAAGTACCACTGCGAAGTTATGGCGGCTTTTTCTTCACCCCAAGTCAACCCTCATCCGTGAATATCGACCCAGGGGATGTTTCAAAAACACTGAGTTATCCAGACATGCCTCCATCATCTTTCAACTTTTCTCCGCGTGATATGTGAGCTGAGGTATCTCCTTCCCAAGTGGAGTAGATGCCCAGGCTACTCAGACTATACCGGAGAACACTACCAGGAGGCGGAGCACAGCACCTTCCATCGTTTGCTTGTTTGTATGGTGTCGGCTGCACTCTCGCAAGCGAAGCGTGGCGCGCACATAGCACTATTCGTAAAACTCCTTGCCTAAATTCGAAACTTCACGCCCTTCGAGACTGTACCCATCCTCTACATCATTTTATGAACTTGTCCGTTTTCCTCTCACGTCCATCTCAAAGAACTGTCTCCCAGATTTGTACGCTACGCTTTGCTTCCTCCAGCGGGTGTAAATATGGGCGTGGGCGTGTATTTGGTGGTCAACTGAAGCCAGAGAAAGACGAAGAGTGGTGTGGTCATTGGGATGAGGATGCACTTGGTCGTACTTGTAGGCTCGATGTGACTTGGGTAGGAGTCGAACTCGTTGGGAGCGAAAAAGCGACGTGGAGGAGTAACTTGAATCGTTGCCTCGTGGGCCAAATTCTTTGATATTGCGAAATTTGACTGAACTTGGCTCTGGGAGAATTTTCCCTCCCAAGTTCGTAGAGGACACTGCGTACAGGCGTTCAGTCTTGCCCTCCCACAGCTCTTCTCATCTTGTACTTGACTGACAATAAGTATTAGATTTCTCAAATACAAAGTTATTAATTCAGCAGAAGCATGGATTTACTCCATATTAACCTTATTTTGCAGATGAATCCACCTCAAATCCCACCTTCCACACCTCGGTTCAAACAATTAACCAGAGATCAAAACATTTAACCAGAGATCAAAACATTTTAGCAAGTCGAAAATTTGAATAGGAAAGAATTCAAACTAAAATGAATTTTAAGGTTTGTGGGCTCTATGAATCTGGCAAAAACTAGACGCATGTAGCCGCGCAACTGGGCATTGCTCGGGGACAAGTTAGTTATTTACTGCGCCGCGGAACTGTCTCCCCCAAAGAGAGAAAAAGAACATCCTCAAAACTGAAAGCAGATGATATT